CATTTCAAAATTTAAATATTATTTATACATTTATATTTTCTATTATTACTGTGAATCGACAACTCTGGACAAAATAGTGATTATATTTTTGACTTAGATTTTATTTGCAGACAAAGAAAATTTTAAGTTTATGATTTCTATTTAAAACTTGATAATTAAAGTCAGAATGAACACATATTAGTGCAAACGGTTTAATAATTAGTCATGCCAGGTTTAGAAGAAAGTATTTCACGCGATACGAGTCCGCCTACGCACAGCCTAATGTCCGATGGAATCGCCTCCGAGCAAGTAAAAAAATTTTTGTTTACCTCCGGTAAAACTCAGGATAACGTACAGTGCAACGAGAGTTTAGAAATTTATATCCCAGAGGTAATAAAGTTTTTCATTTACTAATCAATTGTTTATTAATTCTTATTATACGTATGCTACAAATATCACATGCTTTTTGGTTATGTATTCCTTAAAATACTTTTTTTGTTTCCAAATCATAGTTCACTAATAAAAAAAATGCAGATTACGTGTTTCATGATTATGTGAAAGATTATTTTGAAGGTTTTAAATAATTATTTAAATGTTTTAAAAGTATATCACGTATAAGATAAAATTTATGTGGAGTATTTTTTGCATTATTCAATGTTTTTTTGATTATATATTTTTTGTTACAGTTACTTCAAGCTAATTATAGTTTTTATACATGGCCTTCTGCACCTGTGTTAGCTTGGTTTCTTTGGGAACATAAAGAAGAACTTATTGGGAAGAGAGTTTTAGAACTAGGATCAGGTACAGCTCTCCCTGGAATATTAGCTAGTAAATGTGGTGCTATTGTAACTTTAAGTGATTCCGCTAGTTTTCCTAGAAGTCTGCAACATATAAGAAGAAGTTGTGAATTAAATGGTATCTTGTCACAAGTTCGAATTGTTGGTATTACATGGGGATTATTTTTGTCTAGTTTATTTTCTATTGGTCCATTAGATTTAATTCTTGGGTCTGATTGCTTCTATGAGCCAGCATTATTTGAAGATATAGTTGTTACAGTAGCATTCTTATTAGAAAGAAATCCAAATGCAAAATTTCTTTGTACTTATCAAGAAAGAAGTGCAGATTGGTCTATAGAACATTTATTGAATAAATGGAATCTTACTTGTACTCATATATCATTGGCTGGTCTTGGTACAGATTCTGATATAAGTATACATGACTTAATGCAAGATCATACAATTCACTTACTAAGTATACAGCGTGCAGCTTAAGTAACTTCTGTCATGGTTATGCGATATTTAATTTCTATACGTAATATTCCATGGACTATTTCGAACTTAGAACTTGAAAAATATTTTTCAGCATTTGGTAATGTAAAACATGCAAAAGTTGTATTTAACAAATATGGTTTAAGTACAGGCTGTGGTTTTGTAGAATATTATGATAAATTAGCAATGCAAAATGCACTTAAAACAAGTCATGTTTTGGAGGAAAATAAATTATTTGTTGTAAAACATATTGAACATTTTCAAGAAGAAGCTGCTAAACAGTTTATAAACAGATATACACAAGAACAAGAACAATATATGCCTAATGATATAAATAATTATATGCAAATACAATCCATAAATATTACAGCAAATTACAACAAACAACAAAATTCTCCTAGCGGATCAACTTTGATTAAAGAACTTTTAAAAAGTAACACTTTATTGAGAAAAAAGGGATAAACAACTTTAAAATGAGTCTTGAAAAAACATTTAATAAAGCAGCACACCATTTACAGTTATTGGCATCAGAATTAAATTCTACAGAACTCTTGAAATTCTATGCTTTATACAAACAAGCTACAATTGGACCCTGCAATATTGCAAAGCCTAATTGGTATCAAATGCAAGCTAGACAAAAATGGGAAGCATGGAAAAATCTTAATGATATGAGTTGTGATGATGCCATGAATAATTATATACAAGAATTAACAAAACTTAACCCTAATTGGGAAGAAGATGCAAAATCTGAATCTAATAGTTGGGTTGCTATCAGTCGGTTAATAAATATGGAAGAAGAAATAAGTGATACAGACAAAACCTTTTTAGATTGGATAAAAGAAGGACATGAACAAAAGGTACAAGAACTGCTAGACAAAGAACCAAAACTTGCAAATTTAATAGATACAGAAGGTCTGTTACCTATACATTGGGCTGCAGATCGAGGCCACTTAAGGATTATAGAACAATTAGTTAAAAAAGGAACAGATATAAATTCACAAGATGAAGATGGACAAACACCATTACATTATGCAGCATCGTGTGGACATCTTGATGTTGTAAAATATTTGCTTTCTATTGGAGCTCAAATTATAGAAGATAATAATGGTATGACACCCAAAGATATTGCTGATAAGCACTTGAGGGGTATATTATGATTAACTATTAGTAGTACATGTAATCATCATGTAATAGAATTAGCTAAATTTATTGCTAAATGTTAATAAATTAAATTAACAGTTTTCTCATGATATTTCATATCAGAGTCATATTGTTTTTATAATCTTTTTATTTATGTACAAATAAATTCTTTAATGGTTTCCATTACATTCACAGCTTAAGCACTCCATAGGTAAATGCATGATTTGTCACAGAGTTAATTTAAAAAATTCTTTAACAATATAGTATTAAACATAAATAGTACTTTAACACTCATTGAGTACATAGAGAACTCAATGCTCTCTTTATAAACGTTTTTAAATTAATATGTGAAGAACATAAAAGATTTGTAACCTTTCTTATAATAACAAAAGATATTTAGAATTACGTAATTTTTAAACATTCTTTTTAAGCAACAAATGAATGTTTTTGCAATAATTGTTTCTTTCTTGTATACTATATACCAGTCAATTGTACAGAAATTACTAGAAACCTGAATATTAAAAGAATTTACAAGAAACTTCTATATATTTTGGTTAGTTAATACAAAATTATTTAATGATATAAGTTCTATTCAATATAGGTATCTACTATAAAAATTCTGATTGTTTGACATAATAGAAACAATTATTTAATAAATTTACTTAATGAATTTATTATTAAAAGGAATATGTTTAACAATTTCACCATGTCATTCCAATGTCATAATGTTTATATTAAGAAAAGAAGTTATAAAATGCAGTGTAATATGTAATAAAAATTTCTTTAAAAAATTGTTTCATTTAAAATTTTTTAAAGATTATAAACGCAATATTTTATTTCTATGTTCACATGCCTTTTAATAGTTAAAAATTGTATTGATTACTTTCTCAATGAAATTTCTGTTTATCAAAATGCATTTATAAATGCAACTATGCATGTAACTTGTTTGGAAAGAATATCTAGCTTTACTTTATTATCATTGATAATCCTGAGTAGCATTAAAATATAATTCAAACGTAAAAAAGAACTACATTTTTCATCATAAGTTGCCATATTTGTCAAAGAAGTGGATGTTCAAATTTCGAATTTATATTATCAAAACAATCAGTTATAAATACCCATTTAAATAGCATATTCTGATCATTTCCCTTAAGGAAAATAATTTATTTGAATTTAATTATTTATTCACATATGTAATACTAATTATCTGTATAGTAAAAGTAAAAGGATACAAATCTTTACTTTTTGTGCAAAACATTCATTACCACTTTAACTCATTATTTCCAACTAATTTTTAAATACAGTTTAGAAACTTTCTAAAAATTAATTTCAATAAATTTTTACAATTTATTGGCCATATGAAAAATATATTTTCACAAATATAATAGTAAGCTTTATTGCTACGATTATGATTTTTTTAATATATCAATCACAAGGTGAAGTTCTTTTAGGTGGTAAATAATGTGTTATAGTTACTTGGTACACTCTTTTTACAAATTAAATACATTTTTTAAATACTGATAATTATTCAAACCAAAATAAAACAAAGATTATGTATCTTCGAAAATGAAAGAATGCATCATTTAACAAT